GAAACTTTACAGTATACAACACTTACTTTTAACAAAAAACTATGGTAAATGAACTCATTTTTAAGGGTTCCGTTTTTTCCTTTTGAGGTACGGAACCCTAAAAATGAGTTTATTTACCATAGTTTTTTGTTAAAAGTAAGTGTTGTATACTGTAAAGTTTCATCAAAATCCGTTCAGTAGTTTTTGTGTGAAAGAGTAACAAACATCGACACAAACTTTCACATTTATAATATTAGTAGGATTACTGACTGTTACTTTGTAAACATACATATATTGACTATCAAGTACTCTAGTTAACAGAATACAATAACAACAAAAAAAAACTTACGAACTTAATAAAAAATCTTAATCAAATCACATGAATCGGTATTTATGGTACGGACGGTCTGGCCACTTAATTAGGAACGCTTAAGTTTTTCCTTCTAAATTAAAAAAATAAAAAGTAATAACTTTTATACTGTTCATTTGTAATTTCGCCGTCAATATGAAAAGCGATATTCTTATCTTGCGAGATAAAAACGCATCAATTAATAATTAGTTATAATCAATCCTTATCATCGTGAATGACCATACCGGTAAATTGCAGATCATCTGAAATGTTCCAAAAACGTGAATCTACAATGCATGTTTATTTCAAAATCATGAAACCACAGAAAATGTGCCTAGAAGGAAGAGGCCAATAAAAACAACCCCACAAGATGATCGCAGAATGGTCACTCTCGCAAAGAGAGACCCCTTTAAGGGTTCCGTTCTGTTCAAGAGCGAGGTTTTGGACCAGAACCGAAAGCTGGAGTATCTGCGAGGACCGTCAGGAAGCGACTGGTGGAGGCAAAGCTTGTAGGAAGAGTTCCTCGAAAAGTTCCACTACTGTAAAAATATATGTTTAGTTTTTTATTAAGGGGCGGTATAGTCAATACCTAAGTCCTAATCTCAACACTCAGTATCTAAAAAAATATTTACGGACCGTCTGACAAACACATTTTTAATTAGTGCATTATCATGTCACCTCACGAAACCCGCCGCGAACTATGATCTTTTATCGAAAAGCTCGCGCGCTGTCGCTAAGATGATAACAGTCGAAAGTTGCAGTAGGTAAGCAACGATACAGATGTAGCTTATCAGCTGACGTCAGTTATTTTTTAAGACGACTAAATATTACCTAAAAATACATTGCCTGTGTAACGGCAAATTTCGGTTGTCAAACTATAATAATTTTTTTTGGGAACAATAACCCAGCAGTGTCTTTGACAGACTGTCGGTAGTTCAACAAACACCATCTTCCGCTGGACTGTGGTGGTCCATGGTGGTGAACTCATTCCTACTTTAGTTTTGCTTATCGGAACTATTAGTAGGTATTTGGTTCAAAAGAAATTGCCAACATACCTTAGTTAGTTAGTTTTGCAGGGCAATCGAATACCGCGCTTAGCCTCATGATTGGGCCATTGTGCGCGATTTGTGGTTCGTTTTCTTGTGGTTATCTTCCTACTCCAACCACCCCAGATCCCCCCAGAAGGCAAGCTGCCTGTCCAGGCTGCTACAGGGCTCCTGCAGCGACGATGGTGCCAACACACCTTAAAAAAAGACTAAGTTGTCACTATTAAAGTTATCTTGGGGTCTCACAGAGAGTTTCGCTAAGATGATAGCAGTCGAAAGTTGCAGTAGGTAGGCAACGATATAGATGTGACTTATCAGCTGACGTCAGTTATTTTTTAAGACGACTGAATAATATTACCTACATTGCCTGTGTATAAACGGCAAATTTCGGGGACCAAACCACATTTTTAAGCAACAATAAGATCAACAGTGATACTGACCTGTGCACTGACGGACTGCCGCTTCAAGGGTCGGTCGGTAGTAGGAACCCGTCACTGGATTTACGTCGTATTCACAAACATTACTATGAGGTCTCACAGTGTGCGTGGATGCAAGATGACACACGAACCAATTACAAAGCTTTATTCAATGCCATGCGTTCGATTAGCAAGCACCGTTTGTGAATACGGGTGTAAGAATCTACTTCTACCAAGCAGTGCAAAGGTTTGACAGATTATGAAAAACAAATAAAATTTTGAAAAAGGTGTACAAAACGGATATTATGAATATGATAAAGGCATTGATTACTTAGTATTCTACGAATTAAAAACACAATTAAAAATTGTTATTGATATGAAAGTAATTATAAATCAGATTTCCCAAACAATTGGTAATCAGGTAACTTAAAAGATATATTCGTACCAATAATATTATGAATGTTAATTATTATCTATAATAGTAAATGATGTCATGTACCTAATTATATTAAAGTATATGATAAAAGTTTAAAGTCTTAAAAAGCTAATTTTAAATAAATGATAGTACCTATTAGGAGTACCTACATTTCTTTCATGAAATTAAATTGGCCAATTAAGAATGTCAGCTTATGGCAGATGGAAGATCTAGACAGAGACAAGATCTACTATAATTATAAAGCTGAAGAGTTTGTTTGTTTGGTTGATCGCGCTATTCTTTGGAACAAGTGGTCCTATTTGAAAACTTATTTTTGTGTTAGATATTTTTAAAGCTAGAGCTTAAAAATTACGGACTTCCATGAAAACTTTCAACCCTTTTCATCTCCTTAATGGTAGAATTTCGAGAAATCCTATCTTATTATTCGTCTAAGTATGTCGTAAAAACATCCGTGAATAAAAATCCGATTGTGAGTCCAAGGCAGACAGTGGCACCAAGAGCCTACTAAGTAATCTTTAGCACCTAAACAGGCAAAGCCAGGGCGATTGAATAGTTAATAAATTAACAAAATACACTAGCATTATTATGGAAATAAATGTTTCTGTAATGTTACCTATCTACTATCTCTGACCCAGCCTTGATCCCCGCAGATAAAAATGTTTGTATAGAGGTGAATGTTATTGTTTATATTGTCGAAAACACGCGAATAGGTCACGAAGTAATTAGCGATAATGCAGTAATGATGTAAATGATGATTCGTTTCAAATTGTATTTAAAACAATTGCTCAAAATTAAATTATTTTTCATTTGGATGTCAAAAATTTCTTTCTTTTTGGACTACTATTTCGTTAGACTAGCTAGTTATAATAAAGGGGGTTTTATTTGTTTAACAATGTTTCAACAGAGTTTAATTATTAGGATTAAAAATGAATATTATACAAATACCAAAGTTTCAAAACCAACTTCACAAAATCAAAAATAACTATTTATAGCGATGCATTAATTACAGTGGTTTTTTTTTATTTTTTTCAAGTTTTTTGTAATTTGTGCAAGAACCCTTCGTACTAAGCGAAATATGCCAAGTGACATGAGTGGGCTCACCACAGTAGTCGAGCGTCAGCGGGGTTTGAACCCGCTTTCCTTGGATGACGAGTCGGCCAGTCCATTCAATAGAGATAGTATGAAAATAGAAGTGGAGATAAGAGTCACACATATTTGGAATAAATATTCGAGTCACAAGGAAATATTTAAAAGCGATGACCTGATAAAGGTAGCAGGAAGGCGCTGGATACAGGTCGCTACCAACCGTGCGATGTGGAAGTCATTGGGTGGAGGCCTATGTTCAGCAGTGGACGTCCTGTGGATCAAATGATGATGATGATGATGATTCAAAAGCGAAATTCATTAAAGTTAGAGAAAAAGGTATTATTCCACTTTCATCCATCCCCTACTTCATCTCTAAGGTAAGATACGTTCATGAATTTTAAGATTATTTAAGTGTCTACAGCTAGGGACTGGAATTCGTTGCCTGCTGCTGTCTTTCCCGAAGACCGGGCCTTTTCAAGGCGAGAGTGAATAGGCACTTACAGGGCAGATATGTAGCATCCTAGACTGCATCCCACTTAACATCAGGTGCGATTGTGGTCAAATACCTGCCTTGTTATGCATAAAAACAACGTGAATCTTTACCAAAATTCATCGAAATAAAATTGTCTCAGTTACTTTTTGCATGATAATGCCAACCTAATGTATGCGCGGCATGTTGTGTGGAAACTTTTTACTGATAAACCAATTGAATTTAAAAACACGTTAATAAACACTGATTATAATAAGTTACAAGTAACTTTGAATAATACCAATAATACTCATGATTCCAGGTAGACAATGGCATTGAACCTACCTACCTACTTAGTTGGGAACCTGAAAGATTTTTTAGTTTAAGTCATAGTCATTGTAGGTAGTTGAAGTCGCAGCTTACGCGTAGAAATAACCATCCATGCGTTAGTTTTTTTTTATCCACAACGAGGAAGCTCTTGGCCTGTATCTCATCTGATGGTAACTGATGATCAGGCCGAAAGTGGAAGCGAGCATCACCCGGAATCCTCAACCACGGAGGAACTGGCTGTCTTACCTCTAACTGCCGGAACACAACAATGCTGTTAACATTGTTCTTATGGCGACAGACTTAGGTAAGATGGTGGTAGCTAGCCAGGCGGGCTTAGAACAAGCCATACCACCAACCAAACCGAACAGAAAAATCTGCCCCCGCTGGGAATCGAACCCGGGACCTCTGCGTCTGAAGCAGATGGTCTTACCACTAGACCACAGAGGCGGTTCATTATTTATACCCATATAGGTGTATGCAGAGAAGGTTTTAGTGTAGAGCCCACAGTATTCCCTACACATTTTGTTTTCTAGAAACTGTATTTAAAATTAAAAATCCACTGACTACTTAGTTATCAAATCCATATCCTTTAATTAAACTTATTTAAAAATACACTGGACCACAAAGTAAAAGGGTCTGTTAGAAAAATCTTGTATGTCTTATCTTCAAAAATGACAATATCAATTATCTTTAGAAGTATGGGTTAGGTACCTATCCACTAACCTTACAATAAGAAAAAAAAATTACAGATTTTCAATCGATATCTGTGACACCTCCTGTGATCTATCTTCTGAAGGGGCACATAATGAAGCGATTACGACTATAGGTAGTCTAGTTACATTTTGACTGATTACGAAGAAATCGTATAAATACTGCCTGGGAGCACAGAGAAGGTACAGTTGTCTCCCCTCACTGGCAAGATGAGGACTGTCGTCGTTCTGGCGTCTCTGGTGGCCCTGGCTGTTGCCGGGACCGTCCCCGTATCCCCATTCAACACTCAGGTCAAAACTTACTCAGGTAAGAAAATACTAAATACTTATTAAAATACTTATCAATTTTCAATATGTTCAAGTAAGTTTTTAAGTAACACCAGTTCTGGAGAAAATATCAGTAAACATCATTATCATATCAGCCACAGGACGTCTACTGCTGAACATAGGCCTCCACCAATGATTTCTATATTGCCCGTTTGGTAGCGGCCTACATCCAGCGCCTTCCTGTTACTTTTTTGATGAAAGTATCAGTAATATTTAATGATAAAAGTATTTAAAAAATAATTTCCATTGTTACAGTTGAGCCTGCGACCAAGGTGAAGCAGTACAAAGTCTTGGAGCTTTTTGAAGCTATCACCCAAGTGAACAATAATGCGGGGTACTACGCAGTTGGCAAGGACTACAACATCATGGCCAACATTGCCAATTACGAGGTAGGTGTCTTTGTACTATGTTATGGGTATACTTATTATTATTCTGGCATACTTACTCGTATGTATCTTATGATAAACTAAATTAGTAAGTAATTCCATTTCAAATCATAACGAGATCGTTTTTAATTTCAGGAACATAATGTTGTTGAGAAATTCTACAAGATGTACCAACAAGGTTTCGTTCCCAAGACCTACCTTTTCTCAATCTTCGATGATAAGATGAAGACTGAAGCGATGGCTCTGTACGACGTGTTCTACTACGCCAAGGACTTCGAAACCTTCTACAAGACCGCTGCCTGGGCTCGCGTCCACGTCAACGAAGGCCTCTTCGCTTACACCTTCTACATCGCCCTTATCCAGCGCCCGGACACTAAGGACCTGGTCTTCCCAGCCTTCTACGAAATCTGGCCTGAATTCTACACCAACACCGAATCCTTCTCAAAGATGTTCTACAGCAAAATGCGTGGACCTCCATTCGAAGACTTCGAGCAGTACGGAATGGAGGAGGCTGGTGACTACTACTTCTACTACGCCAATTACTCCGACTACCACACATACAACCACGAGGAATACAAACTCGCTTACTTCACTGAGGACATTGGCTGGAACACTTTCTACAGCTACTTCCACTCTATCATGCCTTTCTGGGAACATGGAGACAAACTGACTTACGGCCTTTTCAAGGAGAGACGTGGAGAGTACTATTACTACTTCTACCAACAACTCTTGGCCCGTTACTACCTGGAGAGACTTTCAAACGGCTTGGGCGAGATCCCCACTTTCTCTTGGTACCAGCCATTCAAATACGGTTACTACCCGTTCATGACCACCAACTACTACCCCTTCGTGCAGAGGCCTAACTACTACTACATGCAGACTGAGAAGAACCTTGACGACCTGCGCTTTGTTCGCAACTACGAAGACATCTTCATGAACTACCTGGAGATGGGCCAGTTCAAGGCTGTAAGTATTGAAAAATACAATGAAAATAAATTTTATGTTAATGACTTTACGCTATGAAACCAACAATGACTGATTTTATTTTTATTTTAGTACAACCAAGAGGTGGACTTCTACAACTCCAAGGCGATCAACTTCGTCGGCAACTTCTGGCAATCGAACCCCGACCTGTACGAGAAGGTTGGACCTACCCACTACCACCGCTCCTACGAAATGGCTGCTCGTCGCATCTTAGGCGCAGCTCCTAACTCATACAAGGAGTAAGTATTATGTATAAGCTGATAGATTATAGGATTTGCAAAATAGCAGTATCTTCTAGACAACCTTCGAACATGCTCTTAATTATGTGTATACTTATGATAAAATATTTGTTTCAGCTACTCGTTCGTCCCAACTGCCCTGGACTTCTACCAGACTTCCCTTCGGGACCCTGCATTCTACCAGATCTACAACAAGATCCTCAGCTTCATCTTCAAGTACAAGCAATTCCTGCAGCCCTACACTCAGGACACTCTTCACTACGTCGGCGTTAAGGTCAACAATGTTGAAATCAGCAAACTGACCACATTCTTCGAACTTCACCCCTTCAATGCCTCCAACACTGTGATCTTCTCCGATAGCGAGTTGGTTAGTCCTAAGAAATCCTTTATGGTTCTGCAGCCCCGTTTGAACAACGAAGACTTCACCGTTAAGATCAACGTTAAGTCCGACATTGAGGAGCAAGCTACCTTCAAGGTGTTCGTTGGTCCTAAATACGATGGCAAGGGCCTCCCGATTAACTTCGAGGACAACTGGATGAACTTTGTCCAAGTGGACTGGTTCCACCACAAGCTCACCAAGGGAGAGAATGTGATTGAGCGCAGCTCCGAGGACTTCTTCCACTTCAAGCAGGACTCTCTGTCCATTGAAGAGATCTACAAGCTCCTCGACCAGAACAAACTGCCGGTTGACATGAACGAGAGCTACGACCAACTGCCGAAGAGGCTTATGCTCCCAAGGGGTACCGAGAGCGGATTCCCTGTTCAATTCTTCGTCTTCGTGTACCCTACTAAGGCTCTGCCCAAGGAGTTGGAAGAGTTCAAGGATGTTCTCCTGGACGACAGGGCGTTCGGATACCCCCTGGACCGCCCCGTCTCCCCCTACTTCATGCAGCCCAACATGTACGTCGAGGATGCCGAGATCTACCACAAGGGACCTGAGTTCCCTTACTCCTTTGACCCTGTCTTCATCCCCCACACCAACGAAGTAACCAAACACTGAATATTATAGAAAATGTATTAAGAGATGTTGATAGAATATAGTGTATAACTAACAATAAATATTTGTTATACAATGTCTGCATTTAATTTCTCCTGACTTAATAAGTACCTATGTACGAGTAAGTAAACTTTCCTCATACATTTACACCAAACACAATATTTTGTCTTTTACTTTGATCACTTTAATCACATCTGCTACTAAATTATTATAATACTAGCGGCCGCCCGCGACTTCGTACGCGTGGATCTCGTTTTACCCCCCCTTCATCTATCTTACGCGGTTCAGATTTTTTCATACAATTTTTTTTCCCGTTAACACCCGTTCCCGTGGGAATATTGCAATATCCTGTTGTAACTAAGCTTTAAGTTTACTAAGGTACCTGCATGCCAAATTTCAAGCGTCTATCTTACGCGGTTTAGATTTTTTCATACAAATGTTTTTTCCCGCTAACTCCCGTTCCCGTGGGAATTTTGCAATATCCTGTTGTAACTAAGCTTTAAGTTTACTAAGGTATCTGCATGCCAAATTTCAAGAGTCTATCTTACGCGGTTTAGATTTTTACATACAAATGTTTTTTCCCGCTAACTCCCGTTTCCGTGGGAATTTTGCAATATCCTGTTGTAACTAAGCTTTAAGTTTACTAAGGTATCTGCATGCCAAATTTCAAGAGTCTATCTTACGCGGTTTAGATTTTTACATACAAATGTTTTTTCCCGCTAACTCCCGTTTCCGTGGGAATTTTGCAGTATCCTGTTGTAACTAAGCTTTAAGTTTACTAAGGTACCTGCATGGCAAATTTCAAGCGTCTAACTTAAGCGGTTTAGATTTTTCATACAAATGTTTTTTCCCGCTAACTCCCGTTCCCGTGAGAATTTTGCAATATCCTGTTGTAACTAAGCTTTAAGTTTACTAAGTTACCTGCATGCCAAATTTCAAGCATCTAACTTNACAAGGGACCCGAGTTCCCTTACTCCTATGACTCTGTCATCCACACCAACGAAGTCATCAAACACTGAATTTATAGTTAATGTATTAAGAGATATTGATAGAATATAGTATATAAATAACAATAAATATTTATTATACAATGTCTTCATTTAATTTCTCCTGGCTTAATAAATATGTACTCTTAAGTTTTCCCCATTCATTTACACTATACACAATATTTTGTCTATTATTTTGATCACTTTAATCACATTATCATTAGCTACTACTAGGTACACTACTATAAAATTAATTGTGGACAAGTAGAGTTAACTAACACTTCAGTTATTAACTTTTTTTTAATAAAAACAGTTAATTCATCAATCTAAATAAAATATTTTTCAAATTCACTTAACAAAATGGAAATATCGAGAATAGAATGTCCAAATATCATTAAACAATATTTTTTATACAAATATTTTTATATCTTCATATTATACATCGTCGTTTCGTTGTCGTCAATATTAAATCAACACCAAATCGTAAAGGTTATTATTACATTTTCAGCACAAATAATGACTTTTTCTTGAGACGTCCACCCACAAGGTCGACCGACGACTTGATAAAAGTACGCAAGGGGGGTTACCTACGTGAGTGCGACAAACGTTACATCGAATTTTGTTTCTTCGAAAACCTTTCTGCGAAGTTACTATACTTCGACACGCCTTGTTATATCGATGCCTTGTTACTGCGATGTTACGTTACATCGAAAAACTTTACTGCGAACGATTTTATAGTCATATTTTATAATTTATTTATATTTATGTTTCTATTCTTATGTTATTTAATCAAAGATGTAACTGTTAAATATATGTAGAAATAAGTAAATAAAATGTAATGTATTTATAATCTTATTTCATCTATAATTTTGTACCGCCCGTTTTTGTTCTATGTATGTATGTATGTAATTTCATTTTTTTATCTATCTGCTAAGGCCTGATTTTTCAATCGTTGGATAACTTTGAAGAATAAGTTTGGCATATTGACAGTCTCAGTATGGGAAATATGTCAAAATGACATATTTATTCTTCAGTTAAAAGTTATTTGATGATTGAAAAACCGGCCATAAGTCAAATAAAGAAGGCTTCGCAGTAAAATTGTTCGCAGTAAAGTTTTTCGATGTAACGTAACATCGCAGTAACAAGGAATCGATATAACAAGGCGTCGCAGTATAATAACTTCGCAGAAAGGTTTTCGAAGAAACAAAATTCGATGTAACGTTTGTCGCACTCACGTAGGTAACCCAGCAAAGAGCAAAGAAGGCGCTGGATGAAGGCCGCTTCCAACTGTGCGATGTGGAAGTCATTGGGGGAGGCCTATGTTCAGCAGTGGACGTCCTGTGGCTGAAATGATGATGAATGACTTTTTCTAAGTTGTATCTATACTAATATTATAAAGCTGAAGAGTTTGTTTGTTTGTTTACTTGAACGTGCTAATCTCAGGAACTACCGGTCCGATTTGAAAAATTATTTCAGTGTTAGATAGCCCTTAAAGGAAGGCTTAAGCTATAAACCATCACGCTACGAGTAAAAGGTGCGAAGAAAAAATGAAAAATGTTGCGAAAACGGGTTTTCACGCGAACGAAGTCGCGGGCACAGCTAGTAATATTATAAAGAGGAAAGATTTTACTGTTTTTATTTATTGAATGGGCTTTGTAACTACTGGACCTATTTGGAAAATTATTTCACCATCAGAATCCTACATTACTACATAGGCGGTACAAAGTTCGCCGGGTATGCGAGTTTTAAATAAACTTCAAAGGTGTACTGAAAATCAGTGTTGTACTTGTAACTCATCAAGTCATTTGCATGATTGTAAAACTTGATGGCGCCTTGGATTTTCTGTACACCTTCAAGCAGCTTTCTAAATAAATAAGTAAAATAAATAAAGTCATAGTTTCAATTGAACATACAATAATAAATGGTCAAGGTAGGAAATAAGTTTCTTGGTAAGATAGAGTCGTATACATAGATATACAGGGTGTTTCTTGTAAGGTGTCAAGCCGAAGGCAGGTGATAGGTGAGGACTAGACCTATCGATTTCACCCCCATGTATGTTCTACGATTTTTCATAGTTTAGAAGTTATAGTTAATTTTAGAATGTTCCGCTAAAAGCATATTTTTTATGTTTCTAGCAAAAATTTTGTATCTTGCATCAAAGATAGGAAGTTGATTATTTTTTTCAAAAATCTGCAATTAATAGAGAATCTGTCAAAAAAAAGAAATCTGAAAAGTCGACGCAAAAAAAAATAAAAAAATTTAAAGCCTACTAGGTCATAAAATTTGAAAAAATCACAAAATTAACGATAACTTCTAAACTACGAAAAATCGTAGAATATACATGGGGGTGAAATCGATAGGTCTAGTCCTCACCTATCACCTGCCTTCGGCTTGACACCTTACAAGAAACACCCTGTATGTATTTAGACTGAGTATTTAGTATAGAGTAGGCTTATTATTATTCTGTGGTATAGATTTAACAGTTTTGTCAGCCGTTTGGTTTGGTGGTTCGAAACGGACTACTGTGCCGAGAGATCCTGGGTTCGATTCTCGGCCGGGCAGAAATTGAAATGATGAATTTTAATACCTGTGACGGGACTGGGTGTTACTGTGTATGTATGTATTAAAAAAAGTACATTATAGTCCAGTCAATAAAGCATTATACACTCGCCCAACTACTACCCCTTCGTGCAGAGGCCTAACTACTACTACATGCAGACTGAGAAGAACCTTGACGACCTGCGCTTTGTTCGCAACTACGAAGACATCTTCATGAACTACCTGGAGATGGGCCAGTTCAAGGCTGTAAGTATTGAAAAATACAATGAAAATAAATTGTATGTTAATGACTTTACGGTATGAAACCAATAATGACTGNCATACAAAAGGATTTTCCCGCTAATGCCCGTTCCCGTGGGAATTCCTAAGTATCCTATAACCTGCCCAGGAGTATGAAGAATAATTGTACCAAGTTTCGTTAAAATCCGTCGAGCAGTTTTTGTTTCTATAAGGAACATACAGACAGACAGACAGACAGACAGACAGACAGACAGACAAAAATTTTACTGATTGCATTTTTGGCATCAGTATCGATCACTAATCACCCCCTGATAGTTATTTTGAAAATATATTTCATGTACAGAATTGACCTCTCTACAGATTTATTATAAGTATATAGAAGATTTTATATTTAGATGACAAGGAAGAGTTAAGTAACAAACACTTCAGGAGTTAATTTATCGTAATCTAATTATAGTTTTATATATATTATACAAATATACATAATAATATGCTTCTTAAAATTATTTTGTCAAAATATAAACATCGAGTATAGCATGTCCAAAAATAGTTCAAAGCCATAATAAACAATAAATACACAATATTACTAAATAATTTATAGGCTATTAATTAATATTTTTTCAGTACATAATAATATAATACTTTTTCTGATTTGTATGAATAAGTTAATATTATACTACACTAATTGGTGGACCGACGACGTCGTAAAGGTAGCAGGGAAGCGCTGGACGCAGGCCGCTACCAATCGATCAACATGGAAAGCATTGGGGGAGGCTTATATATGTTANGGACTTTATTTAGACTAGTTAGGAGATGAACATAGCAAAGGTCCCCGCCCTTAGCCCTTGAGACGGCGGGGTGAGGAGGATTTAAAGGTACCACTTTTCGGTTTTTCGCTTAATCCTCGGAAACTATGCGTCCTAGTGACATGACTACTATGAACCAAAAAAAGCTTATTCAATTTGCTACAGGCGAGACTGTCAAATTTTTCTTTACCTTTTATAGTTTTCACGGCATCTGCTCTAGAAGGTCTGTAATATTGGAAATTTTATTTTTGTCTTACATGTTCCCATCAGGAGAAAATCGACTAAATTAACATTAAGCCAACATTTTAGACATGCGAGAACATGTTAAGCCTAGTTCTAGGGAGGGGACTGCACCGTGCGTATATTTAGACGACCCAATTGGAGCCACTTTTGACTCCTCATCACTCAAAAACTTCTGTGCATTAACACTTCAAATTTGGCTCATGTGTTGAGACTTGCACGATAATCATCAGCTTCAAATTTCA